TGACATCCTAATTTCAATTTATCCATGTAAATAATAATGTAAATATCGTTAGATAGCTAATTAAAGTCTGTTCCACTTGCTAATTTGATTAACTATTAATTAAGTTCACTCCATGATATGATAAACAGATGATAAAACTTTCGCATGGGTGGAGAGGGTCGTGCTCAGAATTAAGAGCGAACGTATTGTCTTGTTTTGTGTTGTGTTTGAAAATTATAGAGATAAACCGTTATTCATTTTGATATGTTCTTTCAAAATATCTTATTGAAGATTGGTAAAATGTGTTCAGATAAAACAATATGACATCCTAATTTCAATTCTATCCATGTAAATAATAATGTAAATATCGTTAGATAGCTAATTAAAGTCTGTTCCACTTGCTAATTTGATTAACTATTAATTAAGTTCACTCCATGATATGATAAACAGATGATAAAACTTTCGCATGGGTGGCAGTTATAATACTCTTCATAGCACATGTCGCACCGTTCCGGCCAGGCGGTATGGAAAAGATAAGACTACCGGAAAACACTGACCCCTTGATATTACGGAAAACTTATACAAGAAGAAGACGACGGAAGAAAAGAAAAAAAAAGAATTTGTATCTCCCTAAACGACGATGTACAGAAGAAGAAAATGGATATAATTGCTCCATTGCGCGTGTGACCATTATAATAATTTATATTATATATTCGCGTGTGTTACCATGAAAATAACTTAAATAGATTTCATTTCAGATATTCGCGTGTGTGCAAATTCAAATATTTTTCATTATATATGCGATTCCAAGAACTCGTGTGTGTGAACAGTAAAATTATCTGCGACATAATTATGTGATTTCAATGTCTCGCGTGTATGAACACTTTAGTATATATGTATGAACTTTTCAACCAGTGTTTTATTCTTTTGACATTTACATTTTTTATTGTTCATATAACTTTTAATCAGTGTATTGTTATTTTTCGTATTTTTGTTTATATATTAATTAGGGTAGTTAGCATCGACTCCATTTATATTTAATTTTGTAATGGTCTTGAAAAGTTATTTCATATAATTCATAACTTTATTCCAAAAAAAAAGGGAAGGTATGTTACATAATACATAATAACAAATGTTATAGACGCTTCCTATCATTTTGACACGCGAAAGTGATTTTAAACCTGTCTACTATCGACACCCCTAGAGGTCTTATGTTATTATGTAATCTTAACTTTAACTTGTTGGCACGTTTTATTTAAACTTTCTTTGTCTGATTAGCATGTATCGAATGTTAAACCTGATATGATATATGATACATTAGCCAGATGTCTAATAAGATTCCTTTGTCTGGAATGGTTTATAAACCCAGATTAACAAACGAAAACTGAGAGAGGTCCGGCCAGGACAGGCCACGCAGGTCTGGACAACGGCAACGTAATGTAAGTTAGTTAGGAGTTGGCACACTCGTGCCTAGCCGAGCTAGGGCCATGTCTCCCTCAATACAAGTTAGTTATGGAGTCTTTAAGTTTTGTACATAATATGTTAGAAGAAGCAGAGAATAAAAGTATTATTATATGTTAAACTAGTCTTGTCATCTGAACCTGATTAAAGAACCAATACTGTCACATTCATCCAGATTTTCCAACGTGGTTTCCCCTTGTCAGTGATGCAGGACGGAGGGCCTGACAAGGATATCTCGTTCGGATGGGACGAAAAACCGAGGTCACGTGTACACATTAGCGTGCATGTAAAAGATCCCTTGGCAGTTGGAATTCGATATAAGAGTAGGCCGTATTGCCGCTGCCCGGGCAAAATTTCACTCATAGCACACTGTATGGCGTAGGCGCGTCTTCATTAGCCCAGGTTAGGAGCAGAACAGTAGGACGTTAAACCCCATTTCATTTCATTTCAATATCCCCTACTTTTTTGAAGAGTATATTATAACTACTGTTCTCGTGAGTGATGCAGTATCACTGGACGGAGGGCCTGAAAAGGACAGCTGTCTAGTCGTTCGGATGGGACGAAAACCCGAGGTCCCATGTAGTGTTCGGATATTCGAACAAGAATACTATTCGAATATTCGACGGGTCTTGAAATCTGTATACTAATCGAATATTTTCAATTCTTAATATAAATATATTTAAAGTGGTTTATATTCAATTTATTATAATTTCTAATTAATTATGAAATACGTGAAATTTCTGGTGACATGTGAACAATGCACAAGATAATATTATTTTAGCAATTCCAGTGTTTTTTTTACGTAAACTGCCAATCTGTACAAAAGACCTCGGTCGTCCATGGCATCGCAACAAATAGACGCGGACCTCAACCACACTCCAGTCATCTGCCATCTCCGTCAGATGCTCTTTTAGTTTATCCTAAGTATGTGAACCTGGACATGATTACATTTTCAGAGTCTTAGCCACCATCTCCCAATCTGGTGATAAAACATGAGCGGTTAAATTAATGCAAGACTCATTTTGTTCATCTAATGTTCATCCATCTGTGGTCACAGCGGCTAACTTCTGACTTGGGTCATTCCTGATTTGACGTTCGTCGGAACGAACGGCATCATAGATTCTCTTCCATTCTTTTTTTGAGTGTTTTACTTGACGGCAAATTGTGGGATGGATTCAGGGCTTCTACCATTTCCCGAAAATGGTCATTGTCAATAGGAGAGAGAGGGGCTGATAATGCTTGGCTACAAACTTGATCAGTTTCTCAGTGATGTTTTTTGCTGCGCTGAATCTTACTTGCCTTTGCCTGAAGAACTTTGTGTAGAACTTTTTAATTGGCTGAATCTTGCCTGATCCCACGTCCCGTGCAGAGGAAGTATCTGGAGCTACGTAGCCATGTTTCAACTTCATGTGGTTCCCAAAAATAGCCTTGATGTGATATTAGTCAAGACCATGGAGGTGTATATATTGTCAATATACACACCTCTATGGTCAAGACAACCAACTCCATCGCGGAACTAACTGGCCAACCAAAGTAGGTAACATGCTATAACTGTCTCTGAAGACTGTAGATCTATGTAGGGGTAGCTTTGAATGTAAATGTGGCAAGGGAAGTCGCCTTTATTATAATATTTGAGAGCAAATAGAATAAATAATAGATATTCGAAAATATTCGAATATGGTTATTGCTATTCGAATATTCGAATATTATATTCGACGAGCGAATATTCGAATATTCGTGCCGAACACTAGTCCCGTGTACACATTGGCGTGCGCGTAAAAGATCCTTTGACAGTTGAAATTCGATATAAAAGTAGGCCGTAGTGCCGCTGTCTGGCAAAATTTCCCTCATAGCACTCTGTATGGCGTATGCCCGTCTTCATTAGCCCAGTTCGGAGCAGAACAGTAGGACGTTAAACCCCATTTCATTTCAGAATTGTTTAAGTTTTTGGGGATTAACCATAGGCCGTGGTGTGAAATTTCTAGCTAGTATGCTTCTGTTTTCCGTGCCAGCAAGTTTCGGGTGAAAAAAAGTACGTCATCTTATTCTTCTAGTATTACTTTGTATTGTCAAACAACTTTTCTGTTATCCATTCTTTGACGTTTGGCAGAAAATGTAAAATAAAAACGGGCTTACTTATCAATGTGCGATGGTATTTGAATTTCGCGGTGATTTGGTTTTAACAGATCACATGACATAACTCGCCAATCAGACACACACGACGAAAGGTCCATGAGGTCGTGTGGTGAAAGGTCACCTGCACTTTGTTTACGTTTTGGTACGGTGGCGGAAGGATCGCTAAAACTGCATACTTCGTGTACATTTTGTTAAAAACACTGAGCTAAAACCGTTCACTGCGACAAACTGGAAAAAATTTAAGGTATGTGCTAACCAGTTGATCAAATTAGATGGAAATGGCAGGATTGTGCCGCAGACAAATGCTGATTTGTTGGACAAAGAACTCCAGGAATGTTCAGACAAAACTCTCACTGGGGTATAGGCTACTACTAATACTTACTGTCTGTTCCAGGCGAAACTACGACTCGAAAATTGCTTGCTATGTCTTCAATTTTTAATTACAATTGTTAGAACTTAACGTACTACCTGAAATTGTCATCCCTTTACTTTCTACCGCAGGTTAACTAATTTCAGATCAAGCTATATAACCTTTCTGTCTTGAAAAATCGTTGTTTATTTACTTCGCGGTATTGAAGACAGCCATGCTTGACCTAGTTATTTGGAATAAACCAAATCTAACAGGGGTGTGGATTTGACTTGGGGTCGTTTCGTCCTACTTGCATGTTTAAATAGTTGTTTCGGCCCAGTAGAATATAACTTGCTTTAATGAGCTATTTACGGGAGGTAATATAAATTTGCTATTTGGTTTCAGACCACAGTTGTGTACTCCACTGCCTTTTGGAAATTGATATAAACTACATACAAAGTTTGACCTAATATTGTAGTGACACGTCATGGAAATTTGGAAGTAGGCAAAATGACAATTCAAACGAATTGTCTATCTGGCTTTAGGATAATAGATATATAACTGTCGATTTTATTTGGCTTTGTACGACTTTTAATACTATTTTCAGACTACCAAATCGTGGTCTTGTGGCACTTTTTAGAAAATTATCTACCTTCGCAGACCACCATAATTGGCAATATATATTGATAGAGTTTTCTTGTTTTTTTTCTTTTTTAAAAGTTTTAATCCAATTGAAAAGGGGGCGCTCCTAAGATATTTTTATAGATAGCCTACTCTATTTCTTGTTTGATTTAGTTTTTTTTTATTTTGTGAAATGCCCCAAAGCAAGTGATAATATGACAGAAAACGGAACGGGGTAGTAGCCACACAAGGCCAACTCCTGATAGATCAAGGGTACGTAATTGCGTTTTTGTGTTCAGACCACGGGTGTTGTTTTTTTTACATTTAATTTATTCATATTGATTCATCTTGAACTTAATTCAATTTCTGCAAGTCTACCTTTTAAACAAGAAAGCGGAAAATAAACTGTTTTATACAAATCATTTATTTACACAAATTCACAGAAAATGCCCCGACTATATACAATATATATTACAGAAGTTGTCTGGACTACATTTACGCTATCTATCATACAATTTGCGCACACAATCTACACACTTCACCACACTTGCGCTTACATCAATCTCTTTCCCAGTACTTTCACATGCATCCACCTTTCACACAAATCACAGCCCAACCCAATCCACAATCGCACCCGATTCACATCCCGGTGGGTTCTCACAATCACATACACTACACACGTTTATATCATCATAACTCGAATCTTCATTCGCAACACCACCGACATCCAGCAACATTTTCACTATCACTCTCTCCACTGACATTGTCGCCAAAATCCTCACTCTCACACTCATACTCGCTGTCACTCCCGAACAAAATCACGACTGGTGGTACTTCCGCATTCAATCTCCCCGTTTCCCAAAATCGATCCCCCACCTTGTCTATGATGTGTGGACACGCCTTAGCCCAGTCTCCAGTTGTCACACTAGCCTTGGCCTCCAGAAACAGACGCTTAACGTCTTTGATTTTAAAATTGGTGTTTCTTCGGGCGACATAGGTCTTTTCTTGTGCTAAAATGAAAGTATTTTTGATTTAATGTGGAGACACTTATAAGGTGTAGTAAAAGCTTCCATAAATGAGTGTTTTAACCCTTTTAACATCACTGCAGATAAGAAAAGATTTATTATCTTTCAATGCCGTCAACTTGACTGCCGTCCAAATTTCAGTGAAAAGTATTACCTTGAATTATCTCTATTTGGTTTAACTCGCAGTGCCTTACTGGTAACCGCAAGACTAAATGTCCATGCTGATGGGCTATGTCGTCGGTCTTATATTGTTGAGGAGGACGATGTAAGGCCACCATTCTTAATAATTCTGCCTGCAAGTACAATATCTCATGTTATCAAAGCTGCAAACAAATTTCAACCCACTCACTGGTGGGGTATTTCTTGGTGCTATGTTGACGCGTAACGTCGTATAATGTTATATAGATAATTATTAATCAAGGTTATGTAATGCAGAACATGGCATATGTGTAAAAGTCGAATAGCAATGATGAAACATATTTAAATGAACTGCACTTACATACTGGCCATTATCGTGTAGTTTATGGATGGTCTCTCTTATTGTCATCAGGTCAAAATTATATAATTTTGTTGAACATTTGTTAACCTTGCTCTTTTTTTTTATTTTCCTGCGTTGTAGATGAGTCATTTTTCAAAGCTCCGAACACGGATTTTAAGGGTATATTCAGTGCGTAGGCAATCTCTTTTTTGGAACTTTTATAACGTCTATAATTCATTTTACTCGGTTTCTCAAAATAAGTAAATAAACAATTGATACATTGGTTCACATATTGATACATCCTCCCACACAAATATTATTAACCGAATGCACCCGATTTGTGGAATACCTTATACCCCTACATGATAGACGAATGACCCAACTTACGCAGGTGCAGTGGTAATGTTTCTGTTCTGAGAAATTGATTAGTGTCGAAAAATGTGAAATTTTACAAGAGAATAAAGTATTTTATCGAACTTATAGGCTTTAAGGTTCGACGAAGAAAGTAATGGGGTGACAATTCCAGGTTGGTCGTTAAGTTTTAACCATTTTAATTAAAAATTGAAGACATAGTAAGCAATTTTTGAGTCGTAGTGTCGCCTGGAACAGACAGTATAGTAATAGTAAATACAGACTTCTCACATTCCACGTTACCAACGTAAACAAAACTGTGTATGAAATTTTATCACCATTCCATTGTTATAAGTGAAAACTTTCTTGTATGGATTTGTGTATATTGTTCGAATATAAAAGTGACAGCCAAACATATGCTGACAGTGACATTGATTTTAATAGTGATGATGATATTGATGAAATTATGTGATTTTTTATGAGTAGGCCTACACCTGTATACATGTATTTTTGTAAGCGGTTTTTAAATATTACATATTTTAAACATGTTTTACTTAAATGTACTGTACATGTCAATAAATTTTCATATTATATTTTCTCACTTTATGCTTACTATATGTTTTTATTTTACTTTTATATTCTAATTCATTTCCTACGGTTTTCCCTTGTCAGTGGTGCAGGCGGAGGGGCTGACAAGGTACAAGGACAGCAGTCTAGTCGAGGTCACGTGTATACATTGGTGTGCACGTAAAAAGATCCCTTGGCAGTTGGAATTTGATATAAGCGTAGGCCATATATAGTGCTGTGTCCGGGCAAAATTTCCCTCATAGCACACTGTATGGCGCATGCCCATCTTCATTAGCCAGTACATGTAGAGGAGCAGAACAGTAGGACGTTAAACCCCATTTCATTTCTAATTCATTGTTTTTATACGCCCACGTTGAAATGTGGTCGTATATTGTCGTCGCCCCTGTCCGTCCGTCGGTCCGGCGTCCACAATTGCTTGTGGACGCTCTAGAGGCCAAAGTTAATATCCGATTGACCTTAAATTTATACACAGTGTTTAAGGTCATGAGACGAAGAAGCCTATTGGTTTTCAGCGATTTCCGATAATTACTGCCAGAGTTATGGCACTTGATTTTCAGCGATTTCTGCTCTAAAGGCTAAAGTTATCATCCGATTGACTTCAGATCGATACACAATGTTTAAGATCTTGAGACGAACAAGTATATTGATTTTCAATGAATTTTTATGACTTGAACAAATCCATGATATTAAAAGTTTTGTATACAAAACGTTAGCATGGGGCAGAACTTTATAAAACCAAACAAATTCTAATGGTTTTCTGATAATTACTTCATGAGTTGTTGCTCTTAATCAGATTTTAGTGTATTATAAATGTTTCATTACCGAAAAAAGTAAGAATATGCGACAACTCTTGTTGACTGCCCGGACGATTTAGCTGCTGTGGGCGTATGTTTCGTTGCCTGGCAACCTATCTTTCTCTTATATGTACTTTTATTTACTGGTTGGTATATATCTTTTAATTTTGTACAGTGTATATGGGCACAAGACCTGGGCCCGATTCCTAGAAAATTCTTAAGCACGTTCTTGTGCTTAGATTTAAGTAGACTTTGCATTTAAGTAAACTTACCTTATTTTGTGTTCCCAGAAAATTCTTAAGAATGTTCTTGTGCTTAGATCTTAAGTAGACTTCATTGTAAGCAACAGAACGTTATTATGCGTTCCAAGAAAAAACTTAAGCACAACTTCGTTCTTAAACATAGTCAATCTAAGCACAAGTCCCAAGCAAGGTATACGGCTTGCTTACCAGCCTTAAGTCTGTTTCTGCTTCAAAAAGATGGCTGACCGTAGAGTTATTCGACGGCATTTCCGACACCTTTTGATACCAAAGAGACAATTACAAGACAGAGAAAATCCTTCTCCAGAAGATATTTCAAATTAAGAATGCTATAGAAAATTTCGCTTCTAGGCCTACCCTGAAACCATTTTATTTATTTGCCAATTAGTAAACAATAGGCTACAAACACACAGGCTACTTTAAGATCAAGCGCTCTCACAATTATTCAGTTAGTTTGTATGCGTCTGCGTTTTTTTTTTATCTTGTGGCACATTTTATATGTGAATAGGGGACATGTCAAATGCATCGAGATGAACCATATATATATATATATATATATATATATGACGTCAATGAAGCAGACGACAAATTTAAGACGTAATTCGCATACCAAAGTTGTTTTTATGACGTTAAAGAGCATCGTAGTCTCAGTTTATGGTAAACTTTACCAGTCACAATGTGCTTAGACTTATACTTGACTTGTGCTTTCGTAAGAATGGTCTTGAGAATTTTCTAGGGATGGTATTTTTATAAGTTTCTTACGTAAGAAAAAGTGAAGCATGACTTTGTGCTTACTTTAAGAATTTTCTAGGAACTGGGCCCAGATCTGTGTGTAAATACATGTATTCTGTGAATATAAGAACCTGAACAGCGCATTAGAAACCGTTCTCCAGTATTAATACACTTGTATGGTATTGTTGTGTACGAGGAAATTTATATAATTGCATTTGTTTATTTTTTTTTATTTCCTTCTTTAAATAAATGTACATATCTTATACTCTCTTATAGGGGGGGGGGGGTAGCATGTGCTCCCTGTGTCATAAGGTCTGTCATTGAGTCCACTGGCATGGTTTAGATTCCACGGTTGTACGTGACAAGGAGTAGGGTCGCCTGTCCAACCTCATGGGTTTTCTCCGGGTCCTCCGGTTTCCTCGCACTGCTAAAGACCACTACGCGCAAGCGAATTATTGGAATAAAATTGAACCATGCGTCAGTCCCGAAATTACCTAGTTTGTGTCGAGTGGCTTTAAACCCATTTCTCTCTATATATATACTCTTATAATAAGTCTATTGTTTTCTTTTTTTAAAAAAATAGTATAATTGATGAAGGTGAATTATTATTAATTGTATCGTTCAGATCACATGGTATTATTATTTTTGTTTTTTCTTAACATTATATATAATTATAAGACCGAACCAGTATTTCAATCATGCCAAAATCGTTTTCATCTGTATTTCTCTTGGATATTGTTTCACTGACATAGTTTTGAAAAAAATACTTGTTTCCAGAAAACAACAGATTCATTCAATCATTGGTGCTATTTCCCTATTATTGGCCATATTTATACCACAGGTCATGGGTTAGTCGTCTTCACCGTGTCAATGCAACATTTAACAGGTGGTATTATCCAGTAATCCCGGCATATTTGCAGAGAAATTCTCTCTGACAAATGTAAACAAGCCCACGTGTTCCGTCCCGTAAAAGGTATTCCCTGGTCTATTTATGGCTGTTGATCCGTGACCCTATGACGATCTTTGCTTTTATGGTTTCTGATTGGCTTAGAATTTGATTTTTTTCACCCGATTATGGTTACACTTGACAAATATAGTTCAAGGCGTAATTCGAGGGCAAGACGTATTGTGCAATGCATCAGAAATGAAATGTATGCGACAGTGAAGGCCTACTTGTTTACCTATGTAACAAAGCGTCAGATTTTCACCCGGAATTTGCTGAGACGATTTTCGGGGCTAAATCACAGCCTACCACTTTACGTAATCGTAGTGAGGAAAGTAGCAAGTTTGTTTATAAGTTAGTTACGTGTTTCTATAGATTTGGGAACTTAACAACTCAAAGATATATAAACCCAAGAAACAGTCAGTTCTTTAGTTATTAGAAACCTGAACAGTTGTTCTAGTATTTAGGTACGCGTGAATATGTTAGGTTTAATATCAAATCATTTTGTATAAATCTAAGTTAATAATATAATTAATAATAAGTGTTATACTGAGGGAATCCTTCAGTAACAAGTGAAAATTACTGAATAACTGATTATTGATTTGAATTTGATACAAATCACTTATATTGTTAATATTACATAACTGATTTCAGTCAACTTAGGTTCATCAGCCATTTTGTTCCTGTGTTACATAAATTAATTCCTGATATTTTAGGGGATATTTTAACGTATCCATAATCAATATTATTTTGTAATACTTAATGTAATTTTATCATTCATATTTTCATTGACGTTTTCTAACTATAAACTTATTAGAAACCTGACCAGTTGTTCTCGTATTTAGTTCCAGCCCCGTATAGTATAGAGACTGGTTATTAGACAGATATTGTCCCCATATTAATACTCACTGGGCTTTGGCTCGTGTATAATATGTCCAACTTTACTAACTCTCAATATGTGCATGCGCCTGCGGTATGCACTCAGACGAAAACCGGAAATTCTACATACGACAGATGTTATGATTTTGATTTTAAACGTTTTTGTAATAGACCCCATTGGCCATATGCGCACACACGCATACATTGTGGTGCTAAATATGCAAAAGTGGCATGCTTCCAAAGTAAAGCTTATTGCCTACAAAACTCGATTCAATAACACTACCGAGTTTTAAACAACCAGAATCTTTACCCGTGCTAAGAGATTCCCAAGATATGGGCCCTCGGTAATTTGATTTCCTTAAAACAGAAATTATAACTAAATACCTCGATACCTACCCTAATAAATATGCTGCAGACTTTTTAACACAGGGCCTACAAAAAGAATTTAAACTCCAATATAAAGGTCCCAGAATGCGTGTACACTCAAATAATTTACTATATGTTAAACAATATCCAAAGTTAATAAGAAAGCACAACTAGGTCAAATCTTGAGCCCATTCGACCAATCCTCAATCTCAAACCTTCGTATTTCCCCTATATAGTCCGGTGGCTGAAGGGGGGGGGGGGGAATCGTAACCCGAGCTGTGAATTTATGAGACCTAGTTTTTCTAGACCAGTTTTTTGCGTAGATTCATAATATATTAATAAAACATAAATTTCTAAGACTCCCCATCTATAAATAAGTGTTTATGATGCCCCTGGACAAATGTTTTGAATTGTGGGGAGGTGGGGTGGGGATAGCAGGTGTGTGTGTGTGTGTGTGTGGGGGGGGGTCATTATGTTGACATACTATATTAATAAAACATAAATTTCTAGGACTGCCCATCTATAAATAAGTGTTTATGATCTCCCTGGACAACTATTTTGATTTGTGGGGAGGTGGGTGGGGGTAGCAGGTGTGCGTGTATGGATGGAGGGGGGGGGTGTACAATTGGCGGGAAGTGAGTTCACGTTGATGATTTTCTTAGAGCTTGGTAAAAACATTACTTTTTAATTCCACTGCACATCTCTAAATATGTGTATACGAGTACCATTGTATGGGGGAGGGTAAATGTATTTTGGGGGACAGAAACCACTTGATTCAAAATTGACCTGAAAAGTGTTTCTCGAGTTTTCGTTCAGTGCCAATATCGTCATTCAAAATATTAAATTATAATGGTACTTTTCGAGGGATCTGGAAATGTACATAAAAAACACATGTTTAGATATTAGTTTATTCTTATAATATGTGCGGGATAGATATCTTCTTGGTGACTGATCAACAGCCCGCGTATATCCTTTGGCTATGCTTCAGATACCCATTCACATTGTAAATTCCAGCCCTGTATCGCAGAGTCATCTTGTTCGATCATTAATTTTGCAACCTGTCTCCATATTACTGCAACATAATTATTGCGTTTAATGTGCAGCAAAAGACTACTCGGGCAAGATGGTAATAAAGAAAGAAAGTTTTGTTATTTTTCATCACAATTAAAATTTCTCCAGAAGATACTTCTTCTAGTGTCATCTACTGATGTAAGTCGGTTTTCGCCGTACAAGGTACAAACAATTTTTTCTAAACCAGCATGAAAGCATGTACCGTAGGCCGAGATATTCTCGACACTTTCAATACTAATCTTGATTGGATCAAAAAATATCAAGATTAGTATTAAAAGTGTCGAGAATATCCTAGAACTGACAGCCAACCACGAGGACACCAAAATATCTTACCTACTCCTCTTCGCATTGCAAATTAATGGAGGTGCTATAACAATTTGTATTCTGCGTTCTTGCTCGGGCGAAATAGACATCCCAATCATTCTCTTCGCAAACGATGATCCAAATATACAAATTTTGATCGAAAATGAGACGGGCAAAGGTAGAAAATATCGCGAAAGACGACCTACATCACTACTAGATGACGCTAGAAAAAAGATTTTCTGGGTGAAAAAATAACAGACCTGTCTTTATTACCATCTTGCCGTATACGCGGTCTTTTGCTGCATGGCTGGAATGAAGATTTACAATGTGAATTGGTTTCTGAAGCATATCCAAAGGATATGCGAGCTGTTGGCCAGCAACCAAGAAAATATTTATCTCGCTCATATGAACTTTTGATTTTGAATCTTCTGATGAAGACAAAGAATAAACTAACAACTAAACATATCTCTGTGTTAATGTGTTTTTGATTTACATTTCCAGATCTCTTGAAAGGTACCATTATAATTTAATATTTTGAATGAAAACGCTAACGAGATACCACTTTAAGCTCAATTATGAACGAAATGATTTCTGTCCACAAAAATACATGTTGCCACCCGCCATCACCCGCACCGCCCCCCCCCCCGACACACAACGGGCACTCACCCCGACGTCCACCCCCATACAATAGGAATCTTATAAACATATTTAGAGATGTTTCATCAAGCTCTTAGAAAATCATCATTTAAATCAACGTAAACTCGTTTCCCCGCCAATTTTATCCCCATCCAACCCCTCCATACGCGCAAACCTGCTACCCCCACCCCACCTCCCCATAAATCAAAACAGTTGTCCAGGGGCATCATAAACACTTATTTATAGATGGGCAGTCCTAGAAATTTATGTTTTATTAATATATTATGTCAACATAATGACATCACCCCCCCCCCCCCATTGTAGACATTTGACCCCCTATATCTCGAAAACGCCCCCTCAAACACCTGATCACCACCCAGATTCGGAATCTACGCAAAAATCTGGTCTAGAAAAACTTGGTCTCATAAATTCACAGCTCGGGTGGCGATCCCCCGCCCCCCCCTTCAGCCACCGGACTAATAGGCATTGTTCCGAAATCTGTTTGGGGATAGAGAATATGATAACACATCTTTGGGGGATGGAGAATGATAACACATCTCTCCTCCCTATATGGTTAGAGTGTGAATGATTAGATAGATCCCCAATTATGTATGGTTAACTATACATCATTCGATAGAGTCATTGATAAAATATCTTCCTTAGGCAAGGATCGACTGTTGGCTAAAATGGACGCCCAGTCTACATTCAGATTATTAAAGATAAACCCAGCATGATATGGGCTGCATGATATCGTGTAGCATATTTAAAACATTTTCAACTTTTGTCCAATGGTTAGTTACATACATTTCTTGTATTACATGTACATCCTTGGACCATTACCATGACGACCTTATTTTCATGGGGGCAGTGAATAGTGATGAATGTACTATACTGATGAAAATATTTACTAATATTTACTGTTATAATTCCTGAACAGAAAGCAAAAGATCTCACTGTCCTAATCAAAACATTCCTGAACAGGAAGAGGGTGGCCCTTAAAGAAATGCAGTCATTGGTTGGCACATTGAATTTCTTTTGTCGAGCTATTAGATCTGGTCGGGCATTTAATGGTCGTTTTTACAACTTAATGATAGGCATTGAACGACAATACCATTTCATCAGATTATCACATGCGATTAAAGACGATCTGCATGTATGGCCTCAATTCTTGCAGCTCTTCAATGGGGTCACTTTTTCCCCCAGAAGAATGTTGGTTATCTAATGACACTCTCCAACTTTTCAGTGATAGTGTGCAGGTGCACATGGCTTGGGCAGCGCGTTTTATTTTAACTGGGAATAGACTTATTTTTCAATCGTGGAAAGATCAGTCAATCATGCGTGTCATTACTTTCTTAAAGCTGCTTCCTGTTGTTTTAGCTATTTCTCTTTGGGGTCCTCGACTTTATAATAGAAAAGTTATATTTAATATTGATAACCAGGCTCTAGTTTCGATTCGTAATTGTCAAAATCTTAACGATTCATGTATATGTGGAGACCATTCATTCTCAAAATATTTAAATTTAATATTATGTTCAAAGCGTGTCATATATGTGGCTATAAAAATACAATAGCTGATTCTATTTCGAGACGGGACTGGACACGGTTTCGGAAAGAAGCTCCAAAAGCCAAACTGGAACCAGAGAAAATACCAAATACTTTCTTAGAGTCCATATCGAGAATGAAGTTGACAGATTGCTAACAGCTGTCCTTTCAAGAAATACTGGTCTTAACCGCTTTCCAAAACTTCCAAGACAAATATGGACCAAATTGCCCCCCCCCCCCGATCACATTGTAACCTTCATTGTCCATATATCTCTGAAAGGATTAGCATTTTCCATTGCCCATCTGTATCTGGCTGCTACCAGTTATAACTGTAGAAAATTGAACCTGACAGATGCCACCAAAAACTTTGTAATTAGTAAACTATTATAATTGTTATGAAACTGATCCCCGCCTACCCATAACTCTTGATTTATTTAAACAAATCATATCTGCTTTACTATGGGTATATAAGAATGACCTCGAAGTCAAGTTATTCTGTGCAGCCTAAACTTTAGCCTTCTACGGATACATTCGCGTGGGGGGCTGACCAAATTGTAAATATAAGAGACATAACTCTTCCACCTACCAATAATAATACCACAACCATTGCAGTTCAGTTGCCCTATTCCAAAACTGATTAAGTTGGTCAGGGATCCATAATAACAAATTCTCGAGACTGGGGACGCATATGCCTAGTTTTTCACATGGAGGAGTTTCTAAAAGTCAGACCATCCATAAAAGGTCCATTATTTTGTCATTACAGTGAAAAGTGTCTGATACGATTTCAGTTTGGTTTACAACGCAGAAATATTTCTATTTGGTGGCAAACAGAGGACTACAATTCTTGCAACTTTAATGTAAGATTGGCTGTCTTACCAGCATTGAAGACCCTCCTGGCATGCTTCTCATTCATTGCGCGGGGAGTAACATTGGCGATATCAAATTAAACCAGTTTGGGAAATTTATTGCAAATATCCTAAAATATATTGTATTTATCCTACCAAATACACGGCTAATCTGCTCACAGATCCTACCAGAAAAGATGAGTTTTTATCCGGCAAACATCACGCCTAAATAGTTGTGCTTTCATGCAAGTTTTAAGGATGGGGGGGGGGCTGCATTCCTTATCTCGGTATAAAATTCAAATTTAAAAAATTTATATATAGAGATGATAAAATTCACCCCTCTGACATTGGCAATGATATATTCCTTAATACAATTCAGGCTACCTTGGTAATTTTTCACTGCAATTTCGGCTCAGTATTTCCCCCAACTTACTAGTTATTAGTCAGGATGGTCTTCTATACTGGATTTCCAGACAACTTTTATATAAGGAGATATGGTTGTGGATTCTTGAACTTCTGGAGCTCACCCATTCTCCATTCTATGGCGGTGATGCAGATTCAAATAATGTATCTGCATCATTTGGTAATAACGCTCATATATTCAAGGTGGGACAGATTGCTTGCGACCTCAGATTGTTCGGGTCAAATCACACCAAGGTCACCACTTAA